CACACACACACACACACACACACACACACACACACACACACACACACACACACACACACACACACACACACACACACACACATACTCAAGCTAAGGCCGGATGGGCATCATGCACACTCGTGCTAGACTGAGCATGAGGGCATACTCGCACACGGGCAGCACAGTGTCACCAGCAAAATTTGCCACGTTTTCCACTCCCAGTTTGCCATAACATTCGTTAGCATACCGTCCACACGAATACAACTGCTATGAAACCGGGCGTTCATTCCGTTCAATGGCTTTCAAACTCTTGCATAGTACAAGTGGATTGAGCTTGTACTGCGGAGGAGGATCATACTAGTCTCTCTACATAGAAAGGAAACCTTTTTCTTTTTTCATTTCTTACCCCCTTTACGCTACACAGAACATCTTTCGGAGACGGGGTACTGGTAACCGCTGAGGTGTTGGGTTAGGACTCAGGAGTGTGGACGCATTGCACGCTCTGATTGTTTTAGGGCATACTCACACTAGGACTTCTTCCAGTTCTCCGCGGACGTAATACCCGATAGGTGCACCCTGTCCAGGTCGCAGAAGCCGTCATATACATCAGGGAACGTCCAAGTGTGAGCACTATGCTCTTAGTGTACACTGTACTTCAAAAAAAACATCCTGGACGAAAAGCTCGGCTCCAAAAACAGAGAAAGAGAACAGTTTGAAAATGCAATTTGCGCAATCCTGCGAACACAACACACCCCCACCTGACCCCACAGCACCCGAAACCTGGGTTATATACATTCACCAGTACCGGCCCTTTTGCCTCAACTGCATTTTCAAACTCAAACCCTGACTGCGCCGTAGTTCTTTCAAAAAAACATCGTTTTTCCTCGAAATTTACGATCCTTTCAGCAAAGTTAATAATTCATACGCTTGAAGTCAAGGGTTGGGGGACAAAGCTGGTGGCAAGCTGTACATCCAGTTGAGGTCCGCAATACATGCAGTTGAGGTCGGATCTGTGGGGACAGAATCCGATCTATGGTGGCAAGCTGTAGATGTGGAAGGGACGCGACTTGCGATAGGACTTAAGGCTCTAAGCCTGTAGCAGACGGATCCGTCTAGGAAGGTCCAGAGGGCCAAGTGGGTCATTCCCAACCTCGGGTGATTGAAATCTCTTGAGAGTACTCCTGCGCCTGGATACCTTGCCTCTACAACAACCTGGGCGTTTCAACAACAAAAAAAAAAAAAAAAAAAAAAAAAAAAAAAAAAAAAAAAAAAAAAAAAAAGAAAGAAAGAAAGTGTGTCGTGATGTATGAAGTTGCCGTGTTAAACGAGTGAAATGGAAACCTGGGACACCGTCCAACCCAAAGTTCGGACGTCAAGCAGCCTCTGTGGCCGAATGGCACACCGATGTGAGTGGTGGTAAATACATCATGAGTTCGAGCCCGGATGAAACTGAAAATTTACAAACAGGAAAAGAAACAGGAAAAAAAACAGCACCAGAGTCTTGAAACATGCTAGAAGCCTAACCCGTTTTACAAACAGGAAAAGAAACAGGAAAAAAACAGCAGCAGAGTTAACCCGGCCGGCGTACCCATATGCCGGAAAAAATCCGTCTGACTGTCTGAAAAAAAAAANAAAAAAAAAAAAAAAAAAAAAAAAACCATGCTAGAAGCTTAGAACTAGGACACTGAATGCTGCATCTCGCGGCCATTACGGCTAGATTCGGTCGACGAACGAGTCTAAAGAGTTCATCCATCGCACTGCTAGTCAAATTCAAGGCAACGGTGGGTGTATCGTGCCAGAGCTTTAACGAAACGAAAGACGCATTCGCGGAAACCTGGGCACGTGCGCGCAAGGCAATTCCGAAGAAAAAAGAAGAGGGAAAAAAAAAATGGAGAGAAAACGACAGGAGATGGATTGATTAGTCACACAGAATGCAGAAATAATGAGATATGAAAACCGAAGCAGCAATCTGAGATCCCCGGCCCCGAATACCAGTGCACGTAATACAATTTCCAAAATTATAAAAATTTCCAACAAAAGAAAAAGAACCAAAAAGAAACAAAAGGAAAGAAAAAGAAAGACAAAGAAAGAAAAAGAAAGAAAAAGAAAAAAAAACAGGAGCAGGATCTGTACTAGCACCGGAGGCTAGACAATGATCATCTGTCTTTCAAATGTGAATAAACTGTGGGGGAAAGTCCAAAAACCATTCACCATACGAGCACTTTCTTGGTAGTAGCCGTGTCTCTATTTTTCTGAAAGGCCGAAAGGATTTCGACAAAAAAATTGCGCAGTATTGACTCTAAATTCATAGTTTAACTGTGATGCTTTGGTGTCATATTGAATGACATGCAAGTCAGAAGGCTGCATGGTCTGTAAAGAATCAGTAACAAATAATGAATATGTTTTCTAACTTTTACTTGAGCTCTTTTTTTTTCTATTACAGTGGATGTTCAAATCATTCTTATTTTGGTATCCACCCGAGGCGACAAAAGAACGAAGCATAGCAGCTGCCGCTGTGGAAATGTCCGACTGGCCAATCGTCCGACCCAGGAGTTCCCTTCTCAGCGGACGCCGGACGGAGAATCTGCACTGAAAGGAATATCTTTTTCAGCGACAGTCTTCATTGACTCTTCAACCTATTCGTTAAACATTTAAAGCCCCTATTTCCTGTCATAACGTTGTCCCCACATCAGCCGGATGTGTGGATATTTCCAGGGCGACTACGTATGGATGACACTGAACGAAAGATTGCGACTTCGATTCGACAGAATCAGAGGCCGCGCTGATCGCGTCGAGTCAGAGAGGACTAAAGCGCAGTGATTATACGCCTTGAGAAGCCGAGCACAAAACTTGTCCGGATATCGATGGTACTGATATGAAGTGGGCTGCGATGGAGACAAACAGCAACGGCAAGAAGAAGAAGAAGAAGCAAAAATACTGTGCAGAAGTTCTGCGATGGATCTGCACGTGTGCCCTCTCTACCTATCACTAGCAAGGGCTCGAGCTGAAGTAAGAAGACGACACCCAAGCGAGTAGAGAGAAAACGCCGACGACCACCCCCGTCCCCCTCTCCTTCTGTCTCTTGCAGTAAGACGCGCGAAAGGGAAGCCACGTCTCGCCACCGAAATCATCATCTTCATGTTCCACTTCGACTTGCGCGCGGAAAGGAAGCCACGAAGCAAAAAAAGACAAAAACACTTTAAAACAGTTCTGCTCGCACGTCGTAGTATCGTACCACAGTCAACCGAGGGTCTCGTCAGACTCGACACATTCAGTCCAACTATACGCGACGCATCATATAAGGTGCAGCGAAGTTAAAAAAAAAAAAAAAAAAGGTACAGCGAAGTTCAGAGCAACCTACGAGAGAACAGAAGAAACGAAGAAGATTGCCAAGAGAGGGACATCCTCAAGACTAGAAAGGAGGACTCTCCCGGGTTAACCGCAGCGTATATTGCTGGAGCGCTCCTCCCTTCGGACACCTCCAATGTCACCATCGCCTCGAAGCGCTCCCCGCTCATTTGCGCAAGAAGTGCTCTGGCATCAGCACGCCACAGAGATTAGGGGAGACCATGTGGCAAAGGCGGAGTTAAAGGAGTAGGCGGATTGCTGGAAGCGGGAGGAGGCGATCGAGGGATCGACGGAGGAGTTGAAGGGCTGGGCCGATTGCTGAATGGGGGAGGAGCTGATCGAGGCAAGGTCGAATGAGGTGCAGGGTTCGACGGATGCGAGAAAGAGGGGGGAGCAATTTGAGACGATCGTGACATTGGAGGTATGGAGGTGGCGCTATGGACGGAAAGCGGCGAAGGGGTAGGAGATGGAGGAAGATCCACCGTGAATTCCAGTACGTGACCTCCGGAGGTGCCGACGATTAGCTTGCCCTCGCTCTCGTTCATGGCCAGCGCGGAGAACGACTCCGTGGGATGCTCGGTCAACTCAACCACCTTCAGAGGAGGCCCGCAGGGCGAGGACATGGTCAAGTGAAACAGCTCACCGAAGTAGGTGGTGAAGAGGACGTTCATGCCGTCTGCCGTTACCGCCAGCGCGGACGGGCCGCCTTGCATCGGTACTCTAAGAACGTCGGACCTCAAAGGGACGGCAGTGTCGTTGACCCCCACCGCGAGCAGTGCGACTGTCTCGGTCCAGCGTTTAAACATCCACAATCTTTCGTAGTCGTTATCGAAGAAGTAGAGGCAGCTGCCATCGGCGCTGAAACCATACGGGCCAACCTCCGGCTGGCTGACATTGGCGCCCGAGAGAGGCCCGAGAGCCACGGCTGTCGTCATGGACAGGCTGCCCGGTACATCTGGATCTATGACAGGGGCCTCCAAGATCTCGGCCGGACCGTACTGGTCGCTGACGTACAGCGTCGTCTTGGCGGGATCGAACGTCAATCCCGCAGCAACTTCCGCCGCCATCATCGGAATGGACGATCGCGATCCATCGCTGATGTTGAGCGCGACGATCCAGGACGGATCCGACGGTCCACGGCTGGACGCCGTCAACAGCAGATGCGTTCCCATCTTCGACATCTCCGTGCCGGACAACTCCGCCATAAACGGCATAGACGACCCGGGCACGAATACCTCAGCGCTCTGCGGCGGCAGACCGCTCGGGCTCTGCGCCCGCCACCAATGACTCACCACTCGAGGCGTTGCAAGGCTACCGACTCCGCCCGCGCCCACGCCCTGGCCGGCGCTTGTCAGGTCGCCCTCCATACACGACACCGAATATTTCGTTCGTCGACCATCCGAGTCCCTACACCTTTGCACGACTAGATAATAGAAATGCTTGCCGTCTAGGCCGTACACAATGTTGCGAATGACCACGAAGCAGCGATCAGGGCTGAAAGGATCCCACCGGAATGGCGGATCTGGTAGGTGTGTCAGGAGAGTCCTGCAGAAGGTCAACTCCAGGCTGTTTAAAGGCGGGCACGCCGAGTCCGCAGTTCCGTTACCCTCTTGCAACTCTCTCCCTCTAACCTCCTTGAGCTTAGGAGCGGCAGGACCGTCCTCGTGCCGCCCCGCCCCCGGCTCCCCATCCGCATGACGCGGGCGCCGAGCATGCAAGTCCTCCTTTCCCGCCACACGCCCTTCCGGTGGGCACAGGAGCGCGCAAGACAGGACTACCAACAGTAGCACAGCAACCACCAAAACCTCTGCCACGTTCTTCATTTAGAATGCTATGGAGTTATTTATGACCCTATGTGCTCTTCTACAACGATCACTAGTACTATCTATTCTTTCCCGACAGCGAGGAAACCAAACAGAAATTCGCCGAGCGTGTGATTGAAACACAACTCAAGGACATATACGAGCACAAACGCCGACCCGTTGCACCATGCACGGTCGGTCAAAAAAGAGGGCAGTAAGGTATGGCTACCATAAACTACCTACTAGTACGAGAACTCCCCGTCTCTCGTCCGACGCGTTGAGGCTGTGCTCGGTCAAATTATTACGGCAGCGACGAAGAAGCGATGACGACGACGACGACGACGACGACGACGATGGCTCTCTTCCTCGCGTCCTTCCAGTCATCAGACTCATCACACTATGCCACCATTAGCCGGTACTTGTGTCCTGCTGGACTCCAAGGTCCTCGCCACGGCGCACAAACGAGCTCCCCTTGCACGTTTGCGCCGGCGAGCATTTGCGCTTGTGCGCGCGCTTTCCATTTCAACTTCCCCCGTCAGAGCCCTTACCGGGGGATAGGTCCCACTTGCACGAATTAAGAGATACTGACCGTAGGTAGCAAAGATCGACGGCCGAAATCTCCTAATGCGTGCAAGTGGGACCTTGCCCCGGGCGTCGAGGGCCAAGTCCCACCTGCCCGGATCCTTCCTTTCTGACCGTAGGCTGCGGAGATCGACAGTCTGGCGAACGGGACATGGCCGCGCACAACACCGTGGTGGTATAAAAGCCAGAAAGAACAGAGGCGGGAGAACGCAAATCATTGGGCCTCGTTCCACACCACTTCACTCCACTTCAATTTCAAGTGCCGCACTTGAGCCGCGTCACAGGGTAATCGCCATTAAAAAACACTTGAGCCTGGCACCGTTCTACGTTACACTCCACTCCACACTAACACTTGAGCCTGGCGCCTACAACCACCTCCCGACTCTCAGGGCACACTCACACTGCGGTACCAAAACCGCATATTCTTAAAAAATNGCGCCTACAACCACCTCCCGACTCTCAGGGCACACTCACACTGCGGTACCAAAACCGCATATTCTTAAAAAATACGGATGCCTGATTTGGGGATACAGTGGCTGCGCCAGTCACACTGTGTCCCCAAACAACCCATTCCACGGCCGCGGTAGGTCGGCCAGTGCGAAATTGCGGAGGTCGCCAGTCACACGGCGCCCACCCTTTTTCCGTCAACTGCTTTTCTTTTTTTTTTTTTTCTTCATTGTTCAGGGACTCGCTTCTGGCGTCTGACCGGCCGACGAGGTCACCCATTTGCCCAAATTCCTCATTTTCAACTGATATGGCACCCATATCTTGCCATTCCATTCTCAAGTCATTTCTGAAAAACAAAAAAAAATAAATAAATAAGGAATTTGCGGTAACCTCCCGAGGTTACCGCAAATTCCCAACCCCCGCGGCCTCTCAGGCCGCTGACAAAAGGGTTCGGGGATAAGTGATTTGCGAAATTGTGCACCCAGTGTGACTACCCCTCGACCCCAATTTTTGGGGATTTTGGGGAATATGCGGTTTTGGTACCGCAGTGTGAGTGTCCCCTCACTTGCGCCGTTTTGAAGTGCGGCTCAAGTGTGGTGGGAGAGGTGACTTAAAAAATTCACAGATTCGCCTGGGCCACACTTGAGCTGCACTTGACGTTTTTGGCGGGCGCCGGGAGAGGCGGGAAGCCTAATCGCGATTAGGGAAGGTGAAAGTCAAGTGCAGTGCAGTGTGGAACGAAGAATTTCTCAAGTATTTCTGAAGTGGAGTGGTGTGGAACGAGGCCCATTAGCCCATGTCAGCTTTCCCCGTAGGAGCCTTTGCCCGGCGTCGAGGCCAAAGTCCCACGCGCCCGATCCTTCGTTTTTGACCGTAGGCTGCGGAGATCGACAGTCTGGCGAATGGAAAAAAAGAGCAAGAGGCGGGAAACGGACCAGAAACCGCGTGCGAGGTCCTCCCAGTAGCTTACTACATCCTGCATCAGCTCGAACACCAGGCTGGGAGGACCATGTAGTACCCTGGAAATACGCCTTTTTTCTTTCGTTTCTTTTTTTTGCAATTCGGTTTCTCTATGGATCTTCGTTCCGGAAAATTTGAGAAATACCCCTATAACATCTGCATAGAGGGTAATACCCCTCTGACACCAAAAAGTTTTGCGAAATGCCCCTGGCGTGGGTTGGACCTGTCATCTTTGCAAATACCCCTACCGGGTACTGTCCATGTTTGTAAAATGTCCCAGTACTTGCCAACATTTCCCGTGCCCTTTGTGTTTTCGTTTTACCCCTAGTGGCCCAGGTCATCTTTGCGTTTTGCCCCCTCGCTGTGTGTTTGTGTGTGTGTGTGAGAGAGAGAGAGAGAGAAGGGAAGCGTGATAGCAGGGCGGGATAGCGGGATAGTGAGAGACTGATAGAGAGAGAGAGAGAGAGAGAGAGAGAGAGAGAGAGAGAGAGAGAGAGAGAGAGAGAGAGAGAGAGAGAGAGA